CCCGTGTACAGCACGGRTACAAGTTTTATAGGTTTCAGGAATTAGCATATCTATCTAGGATTCCCCAATAAAAAACCCAACAAATGCAGTAATGTCCCCCTATTCYAATGAATCYCCCCSYAGATGAGGCCAGAGCMCAGTTTACACARGATGTTCTGGACAGARGGCTTCACCCAAGGCTGGAGCCTCGGGTTTAAGATAGCACAGGGCACACTGASYCCTTCCTCAGGATGTTTGGTCTCTCTGCCCAGCAGAACTCCTAAACTAAGCTGGAATATCAGGGTACAGGAATTACAAGCATGTGGGCTAAGGGGTACAGGGGATACATGAAGGGTACAGAAAATGTATAAAAGGATATAAAAGTATAAAAAGGGAACATGAAAGGAAAGGCAAAAATTATCAGGCATCAATCCCAGCCACTSTCCTACACCCTGTCCATCAGCTGTCACCAAAAATATGAGGCTGTTTCCTTGGTGTAGAGCTGTCAGGAATTTTTTTAACATGTCCATGGTGAACCTAGAGGGGCCTAGAGATGTTATTTTGGCTGTCACAGGCAGTGCCACAGGACACAGGCAGCCAGAGCAGGTTCATGCCAGGGACTCGCGGGAGCTCTGCCCAGAAAGAGTTCCTGAAACCTATGGGAAGTTCCAACAAGAGAGCTTTCAGGCTGTGCTTGGAAACAAAGGTAGTGCTGGGTGAGAGCAGATGCTGGAGCTGCAGCAGGAGCAGCAGGGGCTGCAGTGCCCCATGCCCGCTGGGCTTGGCATGTGCTGGATGCATTGTGGGGCTTCCCAGGAGGCAGCCGGTGCTCAATCTGCCAACATCTCCCTCTTGCCTGGGCACATCCATCCCCAGAAATGCCAGGCAGGGATATTGTCACCACTGGCTTCTCCCACTGTCGCACTGACAACAGACCAGCACAGGTGCTGGCTTCAGGCAGTGCTGGACCTTCAGGGCAGGTTCCAGGCTGCAATGGCATGGTGCTCCGAGGGCCTCAGGGMCTCAGGATTATGGAGTGGAATTGGTGAGGTCCCGTGAGGCTCAGCAGGTGCTTAGCCCCACTTCTTGCCCAAAGCAAGGTCACCTGTGCAGTTGGAGTGGGCTGTGGGTTGCCCAGGAGAGTCCCCAAAGAGACAAATCTTGGACTGAGAGGTTTTGGAGAAGCTCTGCTTCGAGCAGGGGGCTCCGTCGGCTCCGTGGGCTCTGTGGGCTCCGTGAGCCCCATGGTTCCTGTGCTGTGGGCAGGCAGCCGTGCCAGAGCMGGGCTGCTCCCACTCCCCAGGTTCTGAATAAGGAGGGCCCTGGGGAAGAGGAGTCTGGGGGGGCAGCACCCCTACATCCCCCTCACCCCACTAAAATAACCCCCAACTTTCAGCAGAAGCCCTCAGTGCTCCTGGCTCCCCCACCAGCCCTGACCCCCTCCTGCCCACTGCCCATCGCCGCCGTTAAAATAAATTGGCAAAATAAACCTAATTAGGACTGTAACTCTATTTTCTCAACCTGAAAGGCAGAGTCCTGCAGTCGATCGGCAGCAAGTCCCCACAGGCTCCTGCTGCTGGGGAAGACAGAGACATCGCTGCACTAATGAGTGAATTAGCTAATGAAAACAGTATTTAAAATAATCACAATATTTCTTTATTTGCATGTAAAGATGACATAATAAAAGATAATTAGCAGCATGTGAAGCAGTTCTACTACTCAATTTTCTCAGTTTAGCTAATTAATTATCTTAGTAAAATGCATCATTATGGCTAATTTTAGAAAATCCAGCAGCTGCAAGGTCAGAGTGGGAATAATTTCAGTTTGTAATTGAAAGAAACATGAAAGTGAGTCAGATAATCTTTTATTAGATAATAATAATAATAATGAATCACAGGCACATATAGTAAGTATTTTAAGAGGCAGAAAATGCACTGAATCATTTAATAATGTCATCAAATGGGCTTCTTTAGGTGCTGCTGGGGGAGTGTGAGGGCCCTGGCCCTGCCTGGAGGAACACGTGCCCCAGCCCTGGCCTGGGGACGCCTCTGTCGGGATGGGGCAGGAGAACCATGGAGGGGCTGCACCGGCCCCCCCAGCCCTCAGCCTGCACCAGCAGCACCCCAGAGCCTGGGCAGGAGGGTCCCAGCCAGGACAATCCCTGCGGAGCACGCTGCTCCTGGGCTGGATGGCCGGGGAAGGGTGCGGGGCAGGGTTCCCCAGCGCTCCCCGGAGATGGCTGCAGGGCCCGCGGTGGCAGACAGCGATCCTGCGGGAACCCCTCCGGGATGGGGGCAGCGGGCACGGGGAAAGGCGGCTGTGCTGAGGAATTCCAGCCCCAGCCTGGGGACGGGGCTGAGCGATGACGGGGGGAGCCCAGGGCCCCTCTGTGTGGCACCGACTGCCGCCCCACACGCTGGGCCCACAGCCCTGCCCGGCCCGGACACCGCGGCTCTGGCGGCTCTCGCTGCTGGCAGGGAAGAGTGTCCGGCAGCCCAGAGCAGCCCCGGTCCTGCAGAGCTGGAACTCAACCCCAAGGTGCGGCTGCCAAGGGCCGTGGCTCCTCCTTGTCCCTCGGGAACAGAGCCCGGGCACAGCCTTCAGTGGACGGACCGGCCCCTCTCTGTCCTGCAGTAACACCTCTGCAGGGATCCCTGGTGTGAACCCAGAGCTGCTCTGGGTCTCCTATTCCTGTTACACCCTGCTGGGGTGCCGGGCACAGCTGGGCTCTGTGTAGGGGATGGGGGCTTTTGGTACAGCAGAAATATAATAAATACATTGCTTATTAATATTAATTATTATTTATAAAAATAAACATAACAAAGCAGAAAATCTCATGGCTCTTGCAAGAAGGAGAAAACAGGTCTAAACTTGCCCTGCACCCTGGTGAGGCTCCACCCAGCTCTTGGCTGCTGCCTGYGCCCCGGGTGCTGCCCACAGCTTCCCGAGGGCATCCCCGCCAGGCTGAGCTGGATTCCCCAGAGCAGCAGCAGAAGCCACAAGGCGGGGCTGAGGCCCCTGGGATGCTCCCGGGGGACATGACAACACGCTGCCTTCCTCCACCACGCTGTGACATTGTCATGGGCTGGCCTGACCCACGGCCTGCGTGCCCAGCCCTGGCAGTCATTGTGGCCACCGGGCAGCCTGGTGTCACCAGGGCCATCCCAGCAGCACCAAGGTGACCTAGGGACACCGGGGGCACTGCCACAATCCAGGGATGCTCCAGCACCAGCACCAGCACCAGCGCAGCCCAGGAATACACCAGCAGCACCTGCCTGGCCTGGACACACCCTGCCAGCACTCACCATTGTAACAATTCCCCTCTCCTGACAGGCGTGTGCTCACTGCAGGCAGCCAAACAGTATTTTCTCAGTTTAAAGCAGTAACTAAACTACATTTCACCCTGRAAAATTATCTGTACTGCAATTTGGCTTCATTTGTGGTCAAACCCAGCTGTGCTAGTGTAAGAACAGGYATCTTGGGTGTCATTGTGCCATGCTTCTTCTTCCCCAAGGAGTTTATGGGAATTAAGCTCACGAAGGTAACAGAGGGCACTGGGGAGGAATCATCTCCACACCCGTGGCAAACCTCCTAGGCCCTCTGCTTGCWATGGGATCCTGCCAGCTGCTGTGTGTGCCCATGGAGCACCTCCCCTTCAGCAACAGCAAATTAGAAGTTTATTCTAATTTCTGGCTGTGGCGAAGGGCACAGCCCTGGCTGCTTCACTCCGTGGCCACTCCTGTCTCCTCCTGGGATTTATTGCTCCTGTTCTTGCAGCAATCAGTGGTGGTGCTGGGTCACTCTGCTCACATGGAATGGAGCATCTGTGGGGCAGGGGGAACCCTCCACAGACACCAAGGARCTGCTCCCAGTTGGGCCCTCTTGCCCTGAGAAGATGGAGGCCATCGAGCCACTAGAGCTGCCTTTGAGTTCTGGGCTCATAGAAGGTTTTTCCTCATTGTGCTTCTACGCAGGGCCCATATGATAACASCACCTGTTCCAAGGCTCAGCTGATGGAGACCCACTTCCAATCCAAGGCCTTACGTGAGATTTTCAGGTTCCCAAACAGCTGAGCAGTGACTAATCCCTCCCCAGCAGAGAAGAGGAAAATATCAGGCTCTAAATGAATGAACCCCGGAATGCCCTTCCCACCCCTAGACCTGAACTTTGGGACTGGAGAGGAAGATATTAATTGGGTCACTTTAGAGATCACTGTGGGACCTGCCTTAACCTTCCATGAAGCGTTGTGAGGAGCCTGGGCATATGGCAGCAGCTGAAGTTACTGAATATGAAGCCAGCAATAAAACAGATGTTCACGTATCCCAGCTGGAGGTTTCTGGACCTGTGCTTTTCTTCCAGTTCTCAAGTAGGGCAGCTTGGGGAAGGAACCAGMGCTGCAGCAAAGGTGAAATCCCAGGGACAGCACAGCAGGAAGCACCAACACACACGCAGATGCTGCAGCCCTGGCCTCGGGAACCTGCACTGGGAATGCCTCCACTCCTTTCCCTGGCGAGCTCAGAAATGCTCCATGGGGGACCGGCTGAATGGCACCGACAAACCCTCTCTAMCCCAGCCCAGTTCCACAGGGCTCACTCACCCTCATGGGACACAGGGCCCTCYCCCAGTGCTGCCCAGCCCCTCCCCCAATCCAAAGCTAAGGAATCCTCTCCTTCCTCCCCTCTGTCCGGGCAGCAGAGCCCTCACTCTCACAGGGTTSTGCACCTGAAGCACACGGCTTCTCYCTGTGCTGGGTGGGTGCTCAGGGTGGCTGCMCCAAGGGGATCCCACCAGGGATGGGAAGCAGCAGCACATGGAGTGACTGGAGAACACCACAGTGCAGGAGCATCAGGCTCCCTTCATTTTCACTCCTCACACTGTCKCGACTGAGCCTCATTACTGCCAGAGCTACTGAGTTGTAGAACGTGTGCAATTCTACTACCTCTATCTTCTGGTGTCCAGGGAAATACCTCTATTGGAGAATTTCAACCAAGGTTTTGGAAAATACTAAAAATTGACCAGTGCAAAGTTACTAGATAAGAATCTTTAAAATTTATTGGACTAATTGTGTTACATTCAATATTTGATGTGTTTCTCCTGGACAAAGAATTGGCATAAATACAAACAAGCCTTTGTGTGCCTTCCCTAAACAAGTAAGAGATAATGTACTAGAGACAAGGGAACATAGTTCACATCTTCATATTTACATTTTGCCTTTACTTTACAACTTAGCGCCAGGAATATTTACAGAAAAATACAGTAAGAACAAAAAGTTCATGTCTTGGCAACATACAGGAATTCATACAAATTGTCTATGATTGAAGCACATGATATCTGGCGTTCTCACTTCTAATTGCTCCTGCTGAATCCATGGGGAAAAGGGCTGTGTTTGCCTTCAAAGGTATCACTCAATTACACAATCACAAAAATGCATCAAATTTGTCTGTGAGGCTGAGAGTTAGTCCTCTCCTCTTCCTGGGAATGCAGAACYTTGTGGAAAGAACTGCTGTGACCTACAGAGAACCCAGCAGGTACAGCCCAGGGGCAGCCAGGGCTGCTCTTCCCTGTGGCCTCACACATACTGCTCCCCACAGACACCCCAATTTCCACAGGCACTATCCTCCCCCTCTCCTGCTTGCTGTAAGGTTCTAACACCTTTTTGAAAGTACCTTTAAAAGAATGGCTTTTCTTTAAAAGTCTCTGTTAAGGTACTAAAATGTAATTTCAGCACTGTGTTTAACAAGGCAACAGTGGTCACCTCCTGCTCTGTTAAAACAGAACTACGAACCCAAACATAAAGGTTTGATGAAAAAAAAAAGTCTCAGTTTAGTTACTGTGGAATACCTGCAGGTCAGTGGGGGGGTCAGAGCTTGTCCCCTCCAAWGGACAGGAATGCTGACCCAAGCCTCTCAAACATCGTCAGAAATTCTATGCAGCAGTTTGTAACATTAAAAAAAAATCCAGATTCTTGACTAGCTCTTGCAATCACAATTGGACATAAACCTCATAYGCTCTGACCCTTTAGGGGAAAAGCTCTCAAGACAGTACCCTGGACTAACTAAAGCCATCAGTTTGGCCAGACTTTGACAGCACCTGCTCACCAGCTCGTTCTAGAGCAGCCAGGACTGGGCAACACTGAGCCGTGGTGGATGCAGGTGCTGTTACACTATCAATGTGCAGACACCAATTGCTCGGGATGTTTATTGGTTACACATGCATTGCTCATGCCTTTTAAACCAGTGAATTCAAGTGTTTGGCCATTAATTACATCCAATAGGTACATACACAGTGTGGGTAAATTTAGCATCCATGCGTTAAATCGCTCCTGGCAAGAGTTTGGCAGAGGAATGAGGCTGTCCAAGTTCCCTGCACAGCTTGGCCAATGCACCCGACCACTGCCCTGGGAGCTCTTCCTGCCATGTGCCACCTGGGCAGCACAAGGGCATGGGCCAGCCAGCACACATCCTGCTACAGCAGTTTTCTTTGGGTGGTTTTATTTTTTCACTTTTTATTCATCTGGATCAAATTCCAGAGCTCCTGAGTTGAGAGGTCAGTGCACTTATTCCCTGCAACAAGCACACATCACCTAAACACCCCTTGGCTGACCACCTKGAAGTCCTTTCACATTTGTTTTTAGGGGCCTGCATTTCCATGAACTCTGTGGAAAAACTCTGTGGAAAGCCAGGAGCAAGGTCTGTCCTTGGCAGACAAGCTGTAATGAAACAATTACGACTGCTTCACGTCAGAACTGTTGCAAAAAGTAGCTCTAAAATACCAAAATTCAATGCCTGACAGGTATTACTGCAATGCATAGCACAGCTTATTAAAACCACTTCAGAAATAATGTGAAGAGGTCCCCAAATTCTTGCTCACTCATCCTCTTCCACTACCTGGTGTTGGAAAGATCCTGCACCTCCGARATCCCAATATCACACTCAGAGCTGTAAACATCTTTTCCCAGCACATCCTTTGCATCCTGAACAAATCAAAGCTACAGGCTGAAAATGAAAACTCCTGACTGAGGTGGAAGAGAAGTACTACTGCTGAGTGTGAGAACATATAGGAGATTCAAAACAAGGTGAAGTTATAACTCCAAAGGGGCTTTCATGGAATTGAAGTCAATGAGGAAAAGAAGAATCCATGTATTTYCTTTTTGAGTTGTTTAGTCTGTTTAACAGGACTTTCTGAGAAGTGTTTAGAAGCTGCAAAACCTGCTCCTGCTATAAATAAAAGGGAGGAGGCAGCCCTGAAATCTCAKATTTCAATGCAATGGAAGGAAGGCAATTGAAGTTTATGCTTTTTATGGAAATGGCGAGTAGGTGACACAGACACTTCAAAATAAATTAAGTAGTTCCATAAAAAAAAAATTAAGAATAAAAACCAAGCTACTGAAATTAAATGTGACTTTTTGCAACAGCCCTGCAAGTCATAACATCGCTTTTATATAACCAAAAGCTCTTCTCCAGTAACAACTCCTATCAAAAGCCAGGTAATTTCAGGTGGTGGCTGTTGTCAGCAGGACACATCTCGCTCACTCGGAGCCCTGGAGGGAGTGGCCACATACAGCATCTGGGTTTGCATTTCAGGACCTGCTCTTCCCAAGCAATCTTCCTCCTCTTGCTTCTGGTACACAGATGCATTACAACCAGTGAAGGATCTTCTGTTGAACACTGAAGGGGGACTGAAAATGTCTTTGAAGTTCTTGCAGGGAAAGCTAATGCTCTGGAACAGACTCTTCCTTCAATAAGAGATCCTGCTCCTTGCCATTGGACACGTGGGTGCAGCAAGGTGTCTAAGGACAGGTTTGTTTGTATTTTTATTTCCATCCTCATATGCAGAGATGACTTTGATTGTTTTCCCCTCAGAGTGAGACACCTACAGTTCCTAATTAGTCTGGAAAGAATGACTGGGTGAAGAGATTATTTTGCTAGCATCCAGGAAGACTGGAATTCAGTAATCTTCTAAGGGTAGATGAATCAAGTCGATATCCCAACTGCAATGTTTCAGATTCATTTCTCATTCCTCCCACATGGTATCTGCTGACTTGTGCTAGAACATGATTTCCTGAATTCCGGAGGGCTGAGAAAATTTGTTGTTGTTATTTAACTGTTTTTATTAGTGTAGCCACCAAGCTCTGATTTAATTGTCCTGGAAGGATAATGACCTAGGGGTTGCAGTTCTTGAGCCCAACCTCCTGGAAAAGCGAGGTATAAAACTCCGGCTCCAGCTGCCTGTTCCTGTATTTATTGACAATATCTGCTATTTTCTGTTTTCGGCGGACGTGGGGGGGGTTGTATGAATCACTTTCCAGCCTCTTTCTCCGACAAATATTTATTACTGTCTGTCTTACTAAAAAACCTGAAAAAGAAACAACATTTGAATCAAGTTTAAATTCTGTCCTGAACCCCTTTACTGGCTTTCCAGCTAAAGGCAATTTTGGGTGCAGTCCCATCTAAACCCAGGGTAGATGTTCAGCACCACCAAGTCAAGAACTTTGCTCCATGAGCAATTGATAACAGACAGCCACAGTCTCCAGCCCTGTAAAGACCTTCACTGTGATAAATGAACAAAGGGACTCACTCAGTGGGGTACCCTAAAGTGGCAGGAGGACAAGTAGTAGTCTCTGTCTGCTTTGCCAGAGCCAAGCAGCTGCCTGGAACAGAGCCCTTGGGTCAAGAGTGCAAACCCAGGGCAGCCAATACAACAGCCACAGTGCCACAGCCCTGGCCATGCCACACATGTGGACCTCAGCTGGGCCCTGAGGTCACACCAGGTAATGCCAGGAAAGCCCTGAGAATGMAAACAGGACCTGTCAGTACCTTTTCCCAGTAGATACTGGAGAGGCTTCCCCTTGGAAAGSAGATGAAGACAGACCTGATTGGTTGTGGCTGCAAACAAGTTTCTCTTCCCCTCACTGCCTTGCCACTTTTGTTACTTCTCTGTAACTCACACTGCAGGATGTGGAGGGAGGAGGAGGTGGGGAATGGAAGTAGTAGCATTCAAAAGCTGGCAGTGAACTTTATCTTATTTTATTCTGAAATGAAATTCCTATGCCTCTAAGGAAGCAGGTGTCCCTTATCCCCTTCACCGTTCACAAGCTCTTTCTCACAGACAGAAACATTTAGAAGACCTCACTGCACACAAATTACATTGGCTGAACTTAGAGATGAGACAGATTTCACCACATTAACAGCCCTAAGGCAGCTGAGAAACAAGACCAACTCTAGGAAAACATAGCTAACTATTTTCCAATAGAAGCCACTGTCATCAGCTGAATTCATAAATGTTATTTGAGGGCCCAGGTCTGGCTTTCATTTGCTAATCACTGAATTAAGCATGCAAACCCTAGAACCTGAAAGTCACCCCCAACAGCAGCTTTATGGTTATGTACAGGTCTCCTAATGCTCATTACTTCATTTTACTCTGTCCCAGCTCTCGCTGGGTGGGATTTCCAGTTRCTGAAGCAAAGTAGCACCAATACCAGGACAGGTCCATGAATTCATCCAGGAACAGAGAAAAAGGCAGAGGGCACACACAGACCCTGTTACCACATGCCTGCATGGTATTTTTATTGAACACATTAGAAAATCCTCAGTTGCTGTGGTTTTAATCCCTGTCTGGCTTCTAAACCAGAAGGAACACACAGCGTACCAGCACAGTAGCAAATCCCCCAGCACCCTCTGGTGCTCCTTGTCTCTCTCTCTGTGCCAAATATAGGGTCACATTTCGGATCTCYCCTATGTAAACAGACCCCACCCCTAGTTCCAACCCTCTCTCCTGCTATCCTGGCAGCAAAGCACTGTCCACCTGCTCCCTCTGCTGTTCCTGCTCCCACTGCAGCTGCAAAAAGCTTTCATTTGCTCAGCCTTGCCCAACACCTTTTCCAAAGAAAGATTCCAGACCATGTGCTTTGCAGATATATTATTGTTTAAAAAAAATAAAATAAAAACAKGAACATTCCTAAAACTCTTTAGCTTACCAAGAGCTCTCCTACTGACTATCATTCCATCCACCAGTGGGATAACCATGTTGAATTTCCCAGTTGCTCCTTGTAGTTTTATCCTGAATAAGCCAGTGTTTAAAGGATGGATGAAGATCACAGGAATTTCCTTCTCAGGAATGCTAGATCTTAAGGGAAAAACACATCTGTCAAACCAGTTTTAAAGCACTGTTTCAATTAATCTGCAGAGAAAATATGACCCCTTYAAGTGTTMAAAAGAAGTTTAAAAATGCCCCATGGTTAAGGCAGCAGGATCCTGGGGCACGCTCTGGACCCTCAGAAGGGCTCTGKCAGTCGTGCTGTGATCTCTGTCCCCACAGGACAGGACAGACCTGCAGCCAGGGCACACATATATGCAGCATTAACCATCTCACAAGAGAGCCAATCAGGAGGGAGGCTCAGAACTGACTTAGACAAAACTGTACATTTTCTGTTCTTTAGTTTATGTTTTATCTGCAGTTATATGAAAAGCTCTCTAATTTTTTCAACCAAAAAATAGTCCACTGAGAAAGCAATAAAAATAATGAAAATAAGAGTGGTCTTACCTGAGTGAAGTGCTACTGTTAGCTGTGGTTTCCACACCAGTGCTAGTCTCAGATACCAGATCAGGGAGGGGGAAGTTTTCTGTAAGAACAGGATGCATCAAATAAAGCTTATCTAATCTAATTTTAGATTTCTTTTTTCTTATGTACAAGGAAAGATTATTTATCATCAGTCAAAACCACACAATCCTCAARCATTTATACCACTAATGTTCTTACACAGCTAGTGTCTTTGTTTGGTTTAAGCATTCGTGGAGGGTACATACACCTCATTCATCAGCATTCAACAGACCCCAGACCCTGCATACTCTCAACCCAAAGGTCAAAATGTCTTGAGAAACGGTGAAAGCAGGAAGTAGATGAACTACTTTGAACACAAAAAAGCTTTCAAATTAATATTCACTGCATCTTCACCCATCCACAAATTATCAGCCTCAAGAACAGTGCTAGGAGCATTGCACAATGCCACCACTTACACCTACAGTTCCCTCAAGCTCTGCTCCCACAAACACAGTCCTTCCTCAAACCCAAGCTCTGTRGATCCCCACCATAACCTACAACTCTGCTGCCATGCACTTGGTAACAAACACTGAATAATGAAGCTGAARGAGCAAAAAGTAAGAACTTGGATCCTTGAAGGGGATTTGGCACTTTCCAAAACCTTGTTTAGGAGCTGAGAGATGCCAAGAGTCACTCACAGAAATACAGTTCAGGCAGCAGGACACTGCTYCCAGCAGAAGGAGTCTAAGGCCCAAACCCAGATGTTGCCACCAGAGRTGGGATGCTAAGGGTACACAACAGCTGGAACAAGCAGAGGGGGAGCATGGCAAGCCATGGACACACTCTGAGCTTGAGCAAGAGGRAGAGCAGGCAGTTGGCACTGGGGTGATAACTTTGACTACAAAGTGACAGTTTTTCACTGTCCACACTCAAAGRTTTACCAGAGACATTAGGCAAAAGCCAAGAACCTAAGAAGCATATGGCAGAGCCTCTGGGCTATGAGTCATTCCAAGAGCTGCCCTCCCCCCATTAATGCCATGCTTACTGAGGCTCACAAATGCATTTCTTCAGCTTCAGGTCCAGAATTTTGGGAGATTCCTACGGCTGCTGGAACAAACAGCCAAGCAGAAATATGCCTACTTAGCACAGCTGTTGCCCCTGCAGTCAGCCAGCTTGGGCTGTGACCCAAGAAGGAAGTGGATCAGGGACACCAGTGTGGAAACTGGAACACACTCTGGACCAATGGCTGGATGAGGAATTGATGCTGCAGAACTTGCTGTGTGCCTTCTGAATCTCAGTAAGGCTCTGAGGGACATGCTGTGGACAAGGTGGTCTTCCTGAGAATTTACATCTACACTTAACAGGAAACTTCCTCTTGATTAAYGTCATTCCCTTGGTTGCTTTACTCTGGAAGGAGCTAAGGCCTTAATTAAGGTCCATCCTTACTCCCAGACAGAGCCAGGACTAGAAATTAAAGATGGAATAAACCACCAGTTCCTGGCCAGTCTTGCAGACAGTGCTGGGCTAGGCCAGTGCAGAGACTCTTGCATAGCACTGAGGCCAGGCCATGGCTTGGAACCAGCACACAAGAAGCTCCTGGGGACAGAGAATTCCTCAACCTAGAGCCAGCTGTCCACCATGGCCATGCCATGGCTGTAACAGCACAAGCAAAGCTGGGTCTTTCSCACACCAGCCCATACCCTGAGGCAGAGATCAAACACCAAACCAAGAAACACGAAGTTGCATGAGGAGCAGGACCTTGCCTGAGCAACACAGCAGAAAGGGAGCATGGAACAGGCACCCTGAGTGCAGAAAAAAACGAGCCCACTTGTGAAGAGAGAAGAGTTACAAAGATACCATCAAACTAAAGAGAATGATGATCCTCCCAGCACAGAAGCAGCAGGTGACAGAAGCCACCTTTTCAAAGGAAGAAAACCAGATCCACTCTGAGGAGACAACAGCTGAGGGGAACTCAAAAGCAGGGGAACATACCTGCCTTATGTGCTGAGCTTAAGGTTCACAACAGCATTTCACAGGTACTRCCAGAGCTAAAGGAAACTTCAGACCTACATACACCACTGATTCATGTACACTTCATGGATCACAATTCAAATATCAAAGAAYTGATTCAGAATCTTTAACAGTGTTATTACACTTATACATTTATAAGGATTTATTTTTATTGCGAGGATGGTGAGGCCCTGGCAGAGGTAGCCCAGAGAAGCTGTTTCTGGCCCATCCCTGGAAGTKTTCAGGCTGGATGAGGCTTGGAGCAATCTGATCTGGCAGAAGGTGTCCCTGCCCATAGCAGGAATTCAGGACTAGATGAGCTTTAAAATCCCTTCCAACTCAAACCAGTCTGTGGTTCCATGATCTAGCATTTTATTTTTTAAAAATGGAACAGAATTTTTCCTGTGGTTGCTGCCCTAATGTTACTTTAGCAAACAGTAAGAAGTTGCACATACCTATATCATCATAACGYTCGACCCAGACCACGTACACTTTGGTTTCAGGTCCCATTGGTGGAATGGTTCGGCTCTGAGGCATCCTCTTGGATCTGGAAGTAGGACTGAGCTGTTTTGAACAGAAGGGAAGAGTAGCATTTGCAAACATCATGAGTCCAACAATGCAGCCCACAAGTATTTCCCAGATGCTCCTCATATCTCAGCCAGGTACAATCTCTGCCAGCTATCGAGCAGAGGCAGCTGTGCTGGACCTACACGCTGCAGTCTGGGCCTCCACTCTACTTATGTTCCATATAAACTAATGTATTCAACCTTGAAACAGTTACATTTTTTTCCTAATGCTTTTGAAGACCTTAAATGAGTAACTAAATATACATTTGGAAGTGGATTCTAAACAAGTCATCAACATAAATAAATCCTTTGCTTACAAATACAACAGTTCATGATTTTCTGCTTTGTTAGTGTACAAAAGCAACTTCTGGTTCTTGAGACACAACTGACACTGTTTTGAAYTGGGTACATAGAAAAAGTGTTCACATCTATCCATCATCAATTTCCAAATATGGATTCAAGGCTGAATTACTCTGTAAATACTGCATATACTTTTTCCTGCATGCATTTCAAGATTTCAGGATGCACAATATTACCACTGAGCATGTCCAAGTTTTATATTGAAGTAAGGTAATCTTGCTATCTCCTGCTGTAGCTGCAAATTCTGGCAGGGCCAAAGGAGGTAGCAAAGATTAATGATATGGAATGAGTAGCTCTACATGCCAGGAAAACAACTCATGTGCCATCAGAAATCCTGCAGTGTTGCCAGCATGTTTCTTGAAACAGAAAAAAAAACCCCATTTTTTCAGTGCAAGTTTTGCCTTACCCGCTGGGAGGGATTAAGATTGTCTGTATGACTGGGGAAGAGTTCAAGCGTTAGAGGCTGCTGCTTTAATATTCCRGGCAACAGATCCATGTTGGAGTCACTTTCTTGGTCAGAGACACTGCTTTCCAGTGAATCAGCTGTAAGCCAGAAGAAAAAAAAAAAAGGCATGTTTTTCTATTCTTCAGCCAAAAAACTTAAGCTGTCATCATATATAAGGTTTTGATACAAAAAAAACCTGTTGTGAGGTTTATGAAACTAAACATGCATAGATGTATGGTCAAGCCAATACAGCACTCACAAACAGGAAAATTAKTTGGGAGACAACTGCCAGTTATTTCAGAAAGAAACTGCCAATAAAGCACTCCCTACAGACTTACACTCATGYCAGCAATTCTTACAGAATACAGTCTCCTCCTTCCTATGGCTACACCRTATTTTATTCCAGGCAACTTTTAGTGTGCCAAAGATGCCATGAAAGCTGTTGCTTCCCTATATAGCAGTGGTGCACACACTCCTCCACATGCTGCAGGAGGACATCACTGACAGGAAAGGAGAAAAAATAGGCATCACCAGCTGATGCTGAACTGCATGTCCAACCTAGGGCACCCTGGCAACAACAAAACTGCTGTGCACACCTGGACATCTGCTGAGGCTCAGACTATGAAAAAGGCACAGAGCAGATACCACATCAGGAAGGAGTCTAAGGATTAGAATGCTCTAATTTAAATGTTCACAGCTTTCTGACAAGARTCTTACTAAACACACTGCTAGTTTATTTAGGTTTTGCTTCTGAAAGAGTTCTCAAAAAAATTTTGGTTTCATTTTTGTAAAGAGCATGTACAGAGCAATCTTACTCAGGGACTCCACTGGTGATGGGACAACAAAGGCGATTTCTGTCAGWGCATCTGCATAATACAGCACCTTCTTCTGCCCATTGAAGATACTTGCCCCAACATCTTCTGAGATAATTAGATCATCTGAAATGGACAGAAAAGGGAAGTTTAGCCAGAAGGAAGCTCTACTTCTTTACACACTGCATCAGAAATGACCCTCAAATACAAGGGCAATCAATGAAAAGAAATCATGCAAATCTCATTTTAAAATGAAAGGTGTCAAATCTCATGGCTAACAAACCTTCTGAGATAAATGTTTTTGCTGTCTTGAAGGAAAAGGCATTTTGGGTTGGAATTGGCTTTATTTTGAACACATTTTCAATGCACTGGATTCTTTATTTCCTAGTACTCTAATATGCACATCTGCCACAGAATACATCTACTATCTATTTCTGAGCATTCCATCTAGMAGGATAATTCAGATAGTCATTCAATTTCCAAATGATTCTAACATTGATCACTTCACTCTGATACTATTCTAGAATTCAAGTGGGTTTCTTCACACTTTCTTATCTCTGTCAAGTGGAGTTAGAAAAAGATCTGTCCCCAATCAATGAAAGAAAGTGCTTCATTCTTAATCCCCACTGATTGCCTCACCACAACTGGCCAACACAAGTCTTCAGAGTAGATAAAAAACCTCCCTCCCCACTTTTCGTTCCCCATGTCATCTCCAAAAAGATTAGCAAAGACTTTAAAATGGATCCATTTTACAGAAGGGTTCCTGGGATAGCTGCCTCAGCAAGGCCACTGGAGCAGTGAAATTCAGCACACTGACAGAGAAGTGGTCAGAGGCATGCTGAGGACTCCAAGCCACACTTCAGCATCAGGGAAAGGGTCCCTTATCTCCAGTGTACAGGYTCCCAGGGAGCAGCCCCACACATGAACCCAGCTCTTCAACAATTTGTTTGCTTTTCGGGTGTGGTGCAGGGAATGATTTCTGTGAAATTATCTTAATCACAACTCACTGGAAGCTATTCTAGACTCACAGAATCATTTAGGTTGGAGATCAYTGAGTCCAGCYGTTAACTCAGCACTGCCAAATTCACCACTAGCCCATGTTCCCAAGTCCCACAYCTGCAYAACTTTTAAATTCCTCCAGGGATGATGACTCCATCACTGCCCTAGGCAACCTGTGACAATGCCTGATCACCCCTTCCATAAAGAAATTTTATCTAGCATCCAACTTAAACCTTCACTCACACAACTTGAGGCTGTTTCCTCTCATCCTGTCCTTGTTACCTGGGAGAAGATATTGACCCTGACCTGGCTGCAACCTCTTTTCAAGGAGTTGAAGAGTGCAAGGAGGTCTTGCCTGAGATTCCTTTTCTCCAGRCTGAACMCCTGCAGCTTCCTCAGCTACTCCTCATCTGACCTGTGCTCCATTYACCAGCAGAACCAGATTAGAAACAACCTACCCTTCCTCCTTTCCATTTCTGAATGCTTTTTCTGTTCCTTCTTCCCCTGGCTGGTTGAATTAATGCAGCTATTTAGTGGTCCGTGCTCTTGCTCAAATGGCTGAAAACATTTGAGTTGAAAAGTCCACATCAAACCAGATCCCCTCACTAATTCAGGCCACTGCCTTCCGCAGTTGTTCTGATGAACTCACTGCAAAGGGAGGTCAGAGTGCTCTGCCTCTGACAAAGCACAGCATGACCCTGTCCTTAAAGCAAAACCAAATCCAGACCTGGCCATTTTGTCATCCATCCTGACTTGCTCAGAGAAAACAATGCCTCTGTTCTCTAACCTSTCCCCAACACTTCCAATTTTTTGTGGCTTGTACTTTCATCCCATAACTGAAGGGAGAAGCCTCCAGCTGGCTGCAGACAGAGGTGAAGGGCACTCCTAACACACAGAGAATGAGCAGGCAGAGCAAGTGCTGCTTGAGCACCTGCAGCTGTAATGGTATCACAGCTGATGGCAGCTTTAGGTCTGGGGTGATGAACAAGCTGCACGTGGCCTTAGACCTGCCTTCAGGTGCCACCAGAGGCTCTGGASATCACCCAGAACAGGTCTGGCCCTTGGAGCAGTGACACAAACTAACCCAGACACCACCAATTCCCAGGGATACCAAGGTATCCAAGGGAGAAGTTAACCCAGATTCCCATCCTGGGATAGCAGCTCACATTCCTGAGGATCATCTTGGGTGACAGAATGGGGAGAGGGTGGTATATGACAAGCCCAGGGGAGAAGTTGCTCTAGTGGAAAAAAAGCAGTCAATGAAGCAAGAAGAGAACTGTGTGTGGGTTCCAACCTCCAAGCCCTACAAACAGCAGCTTTTTTTCATTCCTTCCTACCAAGCATGACTACAAGGCTATCTTATGAGTTAATATCTCATTTTAATCGACTTACAGAACACTAAAAAAAAACCATGCAGTATTTCAAGCCTACTTGCCAATACACAGAATAATCTGCATCTGATTTCACATGAATAGTGGTTTAGGATAATATATTGAAGACTCATCAAATAAGAAATATAGCCCAGAGGTATATTTTGCAAAGGCTAACTCCTCCCAACAACAAACAGACATTAGTTTTGCTCACTCTGATGTGATAATATTTACACACTTCTTTCTAGCAAACATCAGCATTTATAAAAAAAAAATAGAAAAAAAACCCAAACAAAACAAAACAAACAAAAAAAACCCCTAAAAAAGAGTCAGTGTTCAGATAGGTTATATACAAGTATGAAAATTGTCTTCTGTAGGAACCTAAACATTTTCATTTACTATAAAAGACATTTACTGTGTCTTACCTTGTTCAGGTCCCTCTTCATCACTGCAGCTGTTGATTGACCAGCTTGTGGAGACATGYCCAGTCCACCCAGGGTGCTTCCCAACATCAACAGACCAGCCAAGAGACAGCAAGAACTCCAGGAAGTGGGGCTGAACAATTCTGGAASACTCCATGTTCTTCAGGATCTGAAACCACCAGCAGCACCATGTTGGTACAGAAGCAGGAAACAAGTCTCTTCCTCCCCAGCTTTTTAACTAACATTTCTGTCACCAACATGGTTTTGCCCAAATATAGCTACAGAACAAGCCTGGAACTCCAGACTTTCTACATGGACATTACTCCATGCTCCTCAGCATCCTCCTATCCTGCTTTGCCTTGTCCTATTCAATCAACTTGACTTTCTGCCAGCATTTTCAAAGCCTGCAAAACAGTGAATTAAATGGCTGGAAATGGCAATTTTGAGACTCAAGCATGCATCAGGAAAAAACRGAGTGCTCAATGCAGAAGCTGCATTAGCACCAAAGGTAACTTAAGGGTTTTCTGGAYAGTTTTCACTATCAGACTGAGTTAAAATTTGAAGAGAAATGTATTTTTTGTCACTACTCACCTGTACATGACACAGTACATGACATGACATACAGGGCAGGCCTCACAGCACATTAAATTATGAAACAGATTTTCAAAACAATTTTTAGCAGGATTGAGTGTGTGCTTCAAACATCACMGTGTACTGTTCACATTAATCCTACTGCTGACAGAGATCTGGGATGTTTCCACATGCAAAGGTAATTTTTACCTCATTATGACCAAGTGACAGTTGAGCCCTTCACCAAACAGCACTTGAGGACACGTGATTTGGGGTTTGGATRCTAGAACCACTGGGGTTGGTGGAACAAACAATGCATCCATCCTTTCCAGACTTTGCAGAAAGAACTTGTTTTGTGGTACAGGCATCAATGATTTTAGCTTGTGCAGGGGCAGAACACTTGGGAAACAAGCCCCAGCTACACCAGAAACTGCAGGGATGTGTGCTGGAAGGAAAGCTTCCMGGCTGGAGGTTTTGTGTAGCCACATAGTCCTGACACTCCATCCTAATGCCTTGTACAGTGCTCAGCAAGAGACTACACAGACTGCATTGAAATATCATTATTAATCCTCATTACTGAGTACACTGAAGCCAGAGCTTCAGAACAATTCAGGAAAAGCATGGATTGGAAGACATAAGAGTTCCATAAGAGCACATAAACATTCTGCTAGCTCAGCATGAGCACATCTCAGCTCGAAGGCAAACCTAGCACATCTTGTTTCATAGCAGACTYTGCAGATGCAAAGACTGTTTGCTGACTACTCTGAACTGCATCTTGAACACTCATAAATAGATGATCCTGGTTTCAAGAATTACTGTGTCCTACAGCAAAGTAGAAGATGCTGCAGTGTTCTGTCAACTGTGCATTCACACTGACACGAGGAGTTGGCACAATGATTTACTACATAAACTGTGCCTCTACTCTTTACTACGAGAATCWTGAATGGAATGAGAAGGTACTAGAGGAACATCCTTTCCTAATTAGTCCATAAACCCTCTTAGAGAGTTTCTAGGTCACAAAAAAGTCACAATTTAGATTTGCACAAATTAACTTGATTAACCTAATTGCCTTTGAATCGAAATACTGTAGCATAAAGATTTACAATAATACTTTCTTACTTGCAGAAAGTTTTTCATTCCTATAASACATGTTTAACATTAGAATGAAACCAAACTACCTTGACATTGCACATTGCTGGAACAAACTGCAACCTTCCCTGCAAGCTGAGCCAACAAAGCTGAAATGCCTTTCTGATCTGAATCTTTGAACTCTACAAATAAGGACAATAAGGACAGAACAGAYAATAAAAATACTATTAATATTTTAATATATACCTTATCTATATTTAAATATATATTAAATTTATCACAATAACCCGAAGTGTGAGCAATGTACTTCAACCTACAGATCAAGAGAATATGCAGTGACTTGTAGCTCGCACTGATTCTGACACTTCACTCTAATCACCAGCACTGATGCTTTACTCACTTGGAAATTACTAGAAACAAGACAGTATAGACTAGCTGGCACACTACATTTTCACTTACCTCCTGGCTCGTTTTCTGGCCTGCTTTCATGTAGAAAATGAAAACAGTATCAAAAGGACGACAAGGCAGCAAATCCAAGTAGCCAAGGTCATCAAAAAASCCCGGAAGAGCAGAGTCAAGTGCAATCAGGTGAGGAGGTAGACGACTGTTTGCAGGTTCCTGTCCAATAGACAGAGTGCAACGGCTTAAAAACCCATCTTTCCTAACTGAAAAGTTTTTATGGCTTCAATGGCAATCCATTAAAATATAAAAAGACAATTTCCCTTCTTTAAGAGCAAAATCATACKGAGGTTTCTGATGCAATATAATCTTGTTACTGTAAATGAGTAACAGCAAGCATAACAGGCTGACAATTTGTTGCTTTCYACTCTCATTAAATAAAAGTAGCACTCTGCAAGTCAGACAGACAATGTTTTGCTCAGGGAGAGCACACAACAAAAGCAGCAGATGCTTTCAAAATATTGCATACAGTCACATGTGCAGCTTCAGATTAACTTAAATRCCAGTAATATGCAAAATACTGAGTGCTTTCAGACATCATTTTTGCAAATACTCTATAATCTACTTTTCTTGACAGCTTTCTGGAAGGAAAAGCAACAAATAAAAGGGAGAATCCACAGGTAAGAGGCAGAACTTCATATTAAGAATATGGATCACCTCTATAAATTGCTATATTAATTTTAAAAAGAAATCTCCATCTATTATGTACTCCCAAGTATATCTATAATTAAACTTCAGCACAACCACCTCTGAAGCAAGACTTCCATGGCAGTCATATTTCAGAGTCTTTAAGTACCASCCCAAAATCTAACTCAAGGTGTAGAATGATTTCAAGTGTGAACATGTGAGTGTGATGGCTTATGCACCCACTGCAAACAAAGATACAGCCACCTATTGAGAGCATGTTCAACTTGAGGCCCAGCCTTTCATGACCCTGCTCTTTCACAAYCCTGTTCTTCCTGGAAGACTGGAATCTATCACTTGATTTGATTAGACTGCAGTTGAACGGTAGTTGGAACCACAGACCACCTTGTGCTAACAAAACTTATTTKTCCCCTTTTCCCAAGTCACACCACATGGGAACTGGAAGAACTGGGCAACACCAAGAAGTATCAGATCACCTTCAGTGCCTCTAACGAGAGGAAGCCGAAGTGAGAGAGGAAGAGACGCGCTGTCTGGAACTCCTGTGCTGGTGGTGGGGGCTTACACTCCGTGATGGGATCAGGAAAGTTCTTTTTCCGCCACTCCTCTTCACTTCTCTGATCTATGGAAGTCTCAAAGACAATTTGTTGGGCCATGCCATTCCTCAGCTTCTCATGGCGCTCTTCCAGCTGGAAAACATTGTGTGAACTGCTGTTGTCACCAAAATCACAAAGATCCACTAAGAAAACAATTCCACCACTTAGGAAAGCTCTACAGCAGCACCTGCAAGCCACCACCAGAATGGTTACTAAAACACTTTCAAAAAGACCTTGCAACATCACAAAGCAAGCACCTRAACACCCTGTTTGCATAGGAGAGCTCTGAATAGCCAGTATCAGCTATGGTTTCTCCTATTCAAGTGAAMAGAAACTAAAACACATTTGATTATGGGAAACTTTAAAATATTTGAGTCATGCACTCTCTTATTCCCCCAGGAAGGTCTCAAACAAGACTCTTCCATTTCCCCAGAATAAACAAAGTCAACAAAATGCAAGTCATTGCTTCCTACAATACCAGGATATTAGCATCAGTAATAAAATAAAACATGTTGAGCAGTGTCTTCCAAGCAACACATCCAAAGCAYTGTCATCTTCCTGGGGAAGTGCACAGATTTGACTAATTTGCAGGTTACTATTCCATTAAAATTAAATTGGACAAACTAAAGAGTAAAACTATTTACAGTAAGACATTATTGCATGACTCATGAACAGACAAAAAACCCAGGAACAAAATCAAGTCAGACACAGCTACTTACCTCCTCGTTCACGATTTCATGCAGATCAGGAATGCTCAAATCAGCTTTCACAAATGGAATCTTGTCCACTTCTTCAGGAAAAGGGCGGTGTTTCACACTGTATTTCAACCCAACATCATTTTTAGGAGCTGGTCGAGGTTCTGGTACAAACGTCTGACAAAAAAAGGAGGTTGTTTTTACATTCAAGGCATTGTATCACTAGACAATGCTTAATCAGTTGAAAAACATTTCCTCTCACCTCCCCACCAGAACTAATTCACCATTCAATAAGTCAGTAGACTTATATTAAAAATCTGACAGTAAATTTTGAAAAGACACAACTCTGTCCATTTTGGAACCTGTGAACCCTGCTTACCATCTAGCCTCTAAACCCCAATGAAAATGGCAAACTTACATGGCAACATCGTATTTTCAGCCCATTCTAACTGGATTGAGTGAAAGCTGGCAAATATTTGAGAAGGTGAATTTCAGCCCTCCTGACTGTGATGATCACAAGCCAAGGCCTCAATGATCTGTGGTCAGGAGGGAGATGCACTGTCAGAATATCCAAAGGACTTGCATCATGGATCCTGATGCAATTCTGATATTGCTATGACATCATGTTCTATACCATCCTTATGTAATTCCAAACTTCAAGTTACCAAGGAGTGAAACAAATTATCTAGGTGCAGGTTCAGAGGTGCATCAGGTCTAAGCAAGCAAGACCCTTCATTGCCTCTTCAGTTCTGTTTTCTAAGTTTGTTTACTACTGATTACATTTCAAAAGGGCAAAACCATGAACAATTAAGTTCTAGAATGCCTTCAAGTTGAAAAAGTTCCCTTAAAACTGGTGAGGAGGTCAGCAGTCAGGTCTGGTTTGTCCTTTAGTGTTGGAGGTAGCACAACTGCAACTGATACTTTCTAGGCAAGGGTCTCAGCTCCAGAGACACCAGAGCTCCAAACACATCCTGAAGGGTCTTCCCAAAGGCTGCTTTGTAGAGACCACATTSATCAAAATGTGAATATGCCAGCTGAGACTGACAAGCCCTCATTTCAGCTATATTACTGCCTTTCTTTTATGGAGGGCCATGGGAAGAGTTTAAAGATTTGGTGAAGTTCACAGACAAAAATTTTCATAACAGGAATACATGCTCCACTAGACAACTGCAGTAAGAATTTTTACTGTGAAATAAGACTGGAGTATTTCTCCTCCACCATTTCTCACCAGAGTTGTTTCAGAGCTGATCTAGACAATTTTTTTTTTCACAGCAGGTTTACAGGCATCTTTGCAACATCCAGCCTTGTAATTTAAGGACTGCTCTTTGCAGCACCACATTCTACAACTCCAGACTTCACTCCCTCTGCTAAAAGGGCTTTGCCTGAACATGAAAACTAGCACCAACACTCCTGCCTACACACTAAATATGCTGTGCCTTGCCCCCCATGACTTCAGAAGATGCTTCCAGAAAAAAGAGAATGCCCCCTCCCTTAAGCAAGTTTGCAAGTCTAGAAAGCAACAGCACTTTCACAGCCTGTAGCTCATACCAATCACAAGTAGTAAAGAGTCACCAGAGACGTGGCACATGACCTACAGGTAAAGGCCCGGTAGCTCAGCCTTAATGTAAAACCACCAGCTCTGGGGGGCTGTCACATTAGTACAATTTCTGCTGGACATCTCTAAGTTAAAGGTTTCTTTACAGGTTTTGATATAKACCTTTTGATTTGCTTTAGCTCCTCTTGGTAAAAGACAGAGTTGCTGGGCCCATGCAAATCTTCCAGATGTCCCACGGATCAAAACCGTGACAGAGGGGAAAGAGTCATCTGCAAAGCACATGGGTTAAGAMAATACATCATCATATATTGCAAACAGTTCACTTTGTAATCATTTAACAAGAAGAAAATGCAGGCACAATCGCACAAGTTTTGCTTTCAAAGTTAACTCCTTGTTGTGGGTTAAGGTTTCTCCTTTTGTTTCCTTTCTTGGGGAATTTTTCTTTCCCATTTTATTGCTGGGATACACTGATTGCCAGGYCATCCTTTTGATGGCTGGGCAATTGGGGAAAACAAAAATAACCTATGCCTCACGCACCCCACCCGAATGATCTCCCTGAGCACTCCTGCCTGGCAGGTTTTTTTG